GGTCTACCGGCAGAGGTGTGGGCTGTGCGGAGGAGAGCTGAAGACCGAACCTTTTAAGGACCTGGCGCACCAAGTGTGACTGAGTCAGGGTGATGGTGCGCGCTGCTCTGTCCCTGGAGATCTGCAGGCCAAGGTAGTGGCGCAGCTCTCCTAGGTCAGTGCAGGTGTGTCTCCATAGCAGCTCGGCCTTCACGGAGGCCTGCACGTCTCTGTCTGTAGTAGCGAAGACCAGATTGTCTACGTAGACAAGGATGTAGAACGGAGTCTGGCCAACACTCATCGGGATCGGGGCGAAGGTCTGAAAGAAGTCCACCCCCTTTCGCTGATTGAAGCCTCTAGCCATGAAGTGCACCTTGAACGCAGGCGTCTCTCCAGGGGGGCGCTTCACGTTGAAGAGCCACCGGCCATCGACCACGTTCACCCTCGGTGGGGGAACTGCGTCGACGTAGGTGCTCGTGGATCTCCAAGATGCCATCACCTGCTTCATGGCCGCTATCCACTGAGAGGCCCAGGTTCCTGAGGTCGCCTCAACGTATGTGCAAATGGTCAAGATGTCGAAGGCGTCTGGGTCACCCTCAGGGACTAGTAGCATGGAAATGAGATGGGGAGCAACCTCGGACACGAAAGCAAGCTCGTACTGCCTGTCCTCTAGGACATCACTGCCAAGGGCAGGATCACCCCCGACGGACGGAGGACGGACAGGGTCAGAGACCAGAGCTGTGTCGTAGTCAAGGCGGCGAGTAGAGGCGAAGTCAGCGACAGCAGCAACAAGAGCGTCAAGACTCGAGAGAGGAACAGACGGGTTGGTAACGAGGGAGGCAAGTACCCGAGGAACTAGAGGACGAGCGGGTACGAAGGTAGTCAGACAGAGGGGGAGGAGTGACAGTGAGCGACGACGGAGGAGGGGAAGGCAGGAGGGGAGGACAAGACGCGTGGGAATGAAGCAACATAGGGTGAGAACACGGAACAGGAGAGACAGGACGAGCCCGAGAGGGACAGCGAGACTAGACGTAAGACGGAGGCGCCGAGTCAGGTGACAGAGGAGGAGTAATAGGAGGGGAACGAGGTGGGAAACGGGCCGGGGACGAGTCCGGCGAAGCAAACACAAGGCCGTGGACACGAAGGGGAGGAGGCGGCGGGGGAGACGCAGGCGAGCGGTCGGGATTTTTTTAACTTTTCCTCATTGGGCCGACATAGCAAAGTTCTCTTGCAGATTCTCCCCAAGTCTCCCGGAGCATTCTGCGCTGGAGGCACACTTCGAGGCAGAGCTTGGGGGCATCAATTTTACGGCCTGGATGATCCAAACTTCACATCCGAGCAATGTTGGCTGTATAAGTACAAGAAGCTCCGGCTTGAAGTTTGCCCTGAACGCGGAATAGGCTCCATTTTCTTTTGGAGAAAATGTATTGATGCCCGAGGCCATTAGGCGGCTGAAACGTGAGCGCGTGAATCCAAGACGGATGTGCACGTGCAGGGGTGAAATTGGGAGGAGTGCGAAAATGACTGGGAGGTGCGGAGAATCGAGAAATTCAGGGGTGGGGGAAACCGAGATGGCGTGGGCGGCAGGAATCGGCGTGGCATGGAGGGGGAGAGGGGATGAGGAGGAGATCAACATGGTAGGGGTGGCGAAGGGGAATCTTGCCCTCACAAAGCCTCCCCACAAGGACGTGTCGGTCCCTAAATTCTGTGAAGGGTCGACTTTGCCCTCACACAGCCAACCTCACATTTGGACTGGAGCCCTCAACTTGGTGAAGGGCCAATCAGCCCCTCACACGGTCTCCAGCACACATCCCGTGGTGGTTTTGGTGAAGGGCCAGTCAGCCCCCTCACACAACCACGAGCATGGACCAGGCGGTTATTATGGTGAAGGGCCAATCACCGCCCTCACACAGCATAGAGAGGGATTCTTTGTCTGATTTCGGCGTTGATGGGGGAAAATCTAATAAATTTGTGGGGGATCGCATGTGCGATTATGTAAGGGTGAGCCTACCTGACACTTTTCCGCATCAGGGTCCCAACACTCGACCACTCTGCAAAAACAGGGTCCTGTACAAATTTAGTTTTTCTCAGAAGGGTCAAAAACTAAACCACTTTTTAAAATATGGGTCCAACACCAACCCCAGCCTTATTATAAGAGTCGTAAGGGTATTTTACCCTTATATCCTGAGGCCTGACAGCTCACCTTCGACTACCGGCTCATTGGCGTCACCACCCGACTTTCCACGTCAGCCTCCTACGACCCTACATCCCCAGTTCGTCGGATTTGGCCCGTCAGCGCATCGTACCGCAGCTAACGCCCTTGCAGGAACCGTCGACCGAGCCTCCGAAGATTCTCGGCCATCGAGTAACAACGCAGAAGAACCGTCGAATGGTGGATTTTCTCGTCAGATGGCCCGATCGGACGTCTGAAGATGACAGCTGGGTACCCCTCGCAGATATAGAATCACACCCGATTCTAGCAGCGTATTATCAGAAGATGTCGGAATGTTTCCGATGCCCGCGGCCTTGTTTAGGAAAGGGGGGGGGTAGTGTAAGGAATTTCCATTCCTTATTGAGTCGTACGCTAGCACGTACACCCGAACTCCTCGACTCGTCACGTTTGGCCTCATTTGTCAGCCCAACCCTCTCCCGAGTCGCGTCCAGCACTGTCGCCACATTGCCGAACCTACCCACGTTTCGAGGTTATTGCCCTAGCACGCCAACCCCTATATAACCTCATGCCTTCATTGCAATAGCGACCTTGTATTCTCACGTTATAGCTCATTGACACTTCCTATATCATAACATCGAACCTTGAAGAGGGGTGGCAAAAACAGCGAGGAGCGCACCCTCGCAAAAAACCCAAGCATGGCCCATGCGAAGGGAAGAGCTCTCGCAACGGAAGAAACGACCTCGCCAACGCTGACGACGTCGCAAGCATGGACGGTTGGCGATGCCCCGATCCCACCAAGAAGGCGTTCGCAAGCACGGAAGTAGGTAGGGTTTTTGTGAAGGTTTGTTTTGAAAACGAAATCAGGAACAAACACAACCAAGCACGCATAGGAGCGAGGCGATAGAAAGCTGGAGACAAGGAAACAGGGATATCGAGGGAATGGGCTTTACTGCCCCAAAACCAACTCCACCTTACCCAATCCATGGCACTAGTTGACGAAGCAGATCAGACACGAGTCTAGCCGTTATCTCAAATGCAGGAAAGCACGCGTAACACTACGAAAAGGGTGAAATGCACCGCACTAGCACAGCTTCACGAGCGTCAGTCACGCTACCCAAGTATCCACTCCCCCCCTTCACTCGCGCGCACCAAGCGGGGAGCTGCTCTTCTCTAAACCGCGATCCGCGCCATAGCTCTAACATCGCGACCTCTCTAGCCCAGAAACCAGCGTAAAAACAGCGCTGGCGCTTAACCTTTGCCGCGCTCCTCACTACGGTTTCCCCGTGCCACTCATGCAACTCCCCCCCGATTTCACGTGCGCATATCTCTTCCTCTCTCGCCGCACACAACGGTCCCCCCTCTCTTTTGCTCGCCATCCCCCCCTCTCCTGCCATCCTTTCTCCCCCTCCCCATCCCCTGCACATCCCCCATCCCCTTGTTCTACTTGCCCCCCTCCAGTGCTCTACTTCCCCCCCTCCAGTGCTCTCCTTCCCCCCCTCCAATGCTCTCCTTTCCCCCTCTAGTGCTCTACTTCCCCCCTTCTGTGCTCTCTTCCCCCCCTGCCAGTGCTCTCCTTCTCCCCCTCCAGTGCTCTCCTTCCCCCCCTCTAGTGCTCTCCTTCCCCCCCTCCAGTGCTCTCTTCCCCCCTTCCAGTGCTCTCCTTCCCCCCCTCCAGTGCTCTCCTTTCCCCCCTCCAGTGCTCTCCTTCCCCCCTCCGGTGCTCTACTTCCCTACCTCCGGTGCTCTACTTCCCCACCTCTGGTGCTCTCCTTCCCCCCCGTGCTCTCCTTCCCCCCCTCCAGTGCTCTCCTTCCCCCCCTCCGGTGCTCTACTTCCCCCCCTCCGGTTCTCTCCTTCCCCCCCTCCGGTGCTATCCTTCCCCCCTCCAGTGCTCTCCTTCCCCCCTCCAGTGCTCTCCTTCCCCCCCTCTGGTGCTCTCCTTCCCTCCCTCCAGTGCTCTCCTTCCCCCCCTCCAGTGCTCTCCTTCCCCCCCTCTAGTGCTCCCCATCCCCCCCTAGTCAGCTCTCGTCCCCCCCCAACCAGAGCCCTTTCTCTCCCCTGCAGAGCCCTCCTACCCCCTCAACCATTCCTCCTTCCTCCCTTCCTGTGCTCTCCTCCCCCCCCAAACGAGAGCCCTCCATGCCCCCACTCCAGGACATCTCCTCCCCCCCCAACTAGTCCCCATCCCCATCTGCCCCTCGCTACCCGGCGGGAGATGGGTTGTACGGTGGGGGAAGACAGAACGGGGGCGGATGATGGGAGGTCATGTGGACGGAAGGGCAATAGAGGGGGGTGGGCATCAGAGAGGGGCATGGGGCCATGGGAAAGGGGGGGAGAGCACGGTAGAGGGGGAGAGAGATCGGCAGAGGGGGAGAGAGCACGGGAGAGGGGGAGAGAGCACGGGAGAGGGGGAGAGAGCACGGGAGAGGGGGAGAGAGCACGGGAGTGGGGGAGAGAGCACGGGAGAGGGGGAGTGAGCATGGGAGAGGGGGAGAGAGTACGGGAGAGGAGGAGTGAGCATGGGAGAGGGGGAGAGAGCACGGGAGAGTGAGAGTGAGCATGGGAGAGTGGGAAAGAGCATGAGGTGGGATGCAGCATGGGGTGGGATGCAGCATGGGGCGGTGAGCAACATGGGGTAAGGAGCTGCATGGGTTGGGGAGCGGAAGAGCAGGAGAGTGGGAGAGCGGGAGAGCGGGAGATCAGGGGAGCAGGAGAGCAGGGGAACGGGAGAGCAGGGGAGCGGGAGAGCAGGGGAGCAGCAGAGCAGGAGAGCGGGAGAGCAGGAGAGTCAGAGAGCGGGAGGAAGGGGGGTGAGGGAGTGGGAGACGGGGAGGGAGCATGGGGGAAGGGGGGTGAGCATGGAGATGGAGGAAGGGGGGTGAGCATGGAGATGGGGGAAGGGGGGTGAGCATGGAGATGGGGGAAGGGGGTTGAGCATGGGAGACGGGGAGTGGGCATGGGAGGAGGTGGGTGAGCAGGGGAGACAGGGAGAGGGCGTGGGAGGAGGTGGGTGAGCAGGGGAGATGGGGAGAGGGCGTGGGAGGAGGTGGGTCAGCATGGGAGATGGGGAGAGGGCATGGGAGGAGCTGGGTGAGTAGGGGAGATGCGTGGGTTAGGGAAGGCGACTATGGAAAGCACGTCAGTCATCGTGGGGACGTTTTGGGTGGGTGCAGCAGTGCGCTCCATCCTCCCCTCCATCGCACTCCCCCCTCACCCCCCTCCTGCTCCCATTCAACCCTCTAGAGTCCTGAATTTTCCTCCTATCTCCTGCCACTCTTCCTGTTCCCCACCCCCCCACCCCCCCTTCCTCCCGTCCCCTCCGTTCCTCCTCCCCCTCTTCCCGTTACCCTGTCGGGATTAGAGTGGGGAAAGGCGGGGATTGGAGCGGGGAAAGGCGGGGACCGGAGCGGGGAAAGGCGGGGATCGGAGCGGGGAAAGGCGGGGATCGGAGCGGGGAAAGGCGGGGATTGGAGCGGAGAAATGTGGGGATCTGAGCGAGGAAAGGCGGGGATTGGAGCGGGGAAAAGCGGGGATCGGAGCGGGGAAAGGCGGGAATCAGAGCGGGGAAAGGCGGGGATTGGAGCCGGGAAAGGCGGGGATTGGAGGTGGGTGTGGAAGGGAGAGCCTGAGAGCGGGAGAGCAGGAGAGTGGGAGAGCAGGGGACTGGGGGAGCGGGTCTGCGGGAGAGCAAGAGAGTAGGCGAGCAGGAGAATGGGGGATTTCCCCGAGTTTAATGGGGAGCGAGAGCACGGGGAAAGAGAGAGGGGGTGGCATAACACCCCCTGTGTGTGGGCCAATGGCAGGGTGAATCGGAGAGCGGCAGAGTACGAGAACGGGGGAGTGGGATAGTGTGGGAGAGTTTGAAATGGGACATTGGAAGGTTGGGAGTGTTGACAATCGAGATTGTGGGAGAGCGTCTGACCATGTATAACAGAGAGTGGGAGAGTAATCACGGCAGGTATTGGCGTGGGGCGCGGATTCGGATGGGCGCATCGGCACGTCGCGACCCCACCTGCGAATGAGCATGGCGTGGGCAGGCAGGTCTGTGTGGGCTGAATAACGTCGCTAGCGCGCCCCGCTCGCTGCAGCACGCGGGTCCAACGGCGGTGTTGGCGGGACGGTGCGGCTCTCGCGAAAGCAAGGGCTGAAAAGGGCTTTCCTAAATCGAGTGTGGTTCACGCCCCTTTCATGCCCCTCTAAACTCACAGTTCTCTGAAAATAGCGACGTGCGGAAGGGCGCGGGACACGTCATAACCTAAGAGTGCAGAGTAAACTCCAAGGCACTTCGCATCTTGGTGGGTTTGTGAGATGCGCGTTCTATAGTGCTGACCCTGCGTCGTATGGTTGTCGCTCGGCCAATCACCGATTTGCGCTTGCCAAGTTTCCCCCTGTCGTGGGCCATCAGGGTTACCAAGTTTCCAGGGTGTGGGTGTGTCAAGGGCTCGCCTATCTGAAGGTTCAAAATCCTTTGAACCTTGAAGTTATTGTATACACTCTCTCCCGCCTCTCCCCCTCGCCTGCTCTCACTCGTCTCTCTCACCCCTCTCCCCTTTCCCCTTCCGCTGCCCCTGCTCTCCCTCCCGCGCTCACGCTGCTCCGTCCCGCGCGATCAAGCCGCTCTCCCTCCCGCGCTCACGCTGCTCCCTCCCACGCGATCACACCGCTCTCCCTCCCGCGCGATCACGCCGCTCTTCCCGCGCGCTCACGCCGCTCTTCCCGCGCGCTCACGCCGCTCTCCCTCCCGCGCGCTCACGCCCCTCTCCCTCCCGCGCGCTCACGCGCTCTCCCTCCCGCGCGCTCACTCCGCTCTCCCTCCCGCGCGCTCACTCTGCTCTCCCTCCAGCGCTCACTCCGCTCTCCCTCCCGCGAGCTCACTCCGCTCTCTCTCCCGCGCTCCGCGCTCCCTCCAGCGCGCTCGCTCCGCTCTCCCTCCTGCGCGCTCACTCCGCTCTCGCTCCGCTGCCCTCGCTGCTTCCTCCCTGCTTTCGCCTCAGCCACTCTGTGCTATCGCGTCACTTGGTAGGTTCTGTCGCGTCTTTCCGTCCCTGCTATCGCGTCTCTCCGTCCCTGCTATCGCGACTCTCCGTCCCTGCTATCGCGTCTCTCCGTCCCTGCTGTCACGTCTCTCCGTCCCTGTTGTCGCGTCTCTCCGTCCCTGCTGTCGCGTCTCTCCGTCCCTGCTGTCACGTCTCTCTGTCCCTACTATCGCGTCTCTCCGTCCCTGCTGTCACGTCTCTCCGTCCCTGCTGTCGCGTCTCTCCGTCCCTACTATCGCGTCTCTCCGTCCTTGCTGCCGCGTCTCTCCGTCCCTGCTGTCGCGTCTCTCCGTCCCTGCTGTCACGTCTCTGCGTCCCTGCTGACGCGTCTCTCCGTCCCTGCTGTCGCGTCTCTCCATCCCTGCTGTCACGTCTCTCCATCCCTGCTGTCGCGTCTCTCCGTCCCTGCTATCGCGTCTCTCCGTCCCTGCTATCGCGTCTCTCCGTCCCTGCTGTCACGTCTCTCCGTCCCTGCTATCGCATCTCTCCGTCTCTGCTGTCACGTCTCTCCGTCCCTGCTGTCGCGTCTCTCCGTCCCTGCTGTCGCGTCTCTCTGTCCCTGCTGTCGCGTCTCTCCATCCCTGCTCCCACGCCACTTCGTCCCTCGGGATGAATTATGCGCGGTTCGCAATGCCTAGCCGGTCGTCGCGGGATCTGCGTCATTATCGCTATCACTCCTTATGGCGCGTTGTTTCGTCTAAGGCTTGGCTACGCGCGCAAGAAACCTCGTATGCTGGCTAGTTTCTAGTCACTAGCCAGTCTCGCCTGGGTCCCAATTTACAAAAATTGATAGCAACTTTCCCTTAGCCGTTTGAGCTGAGAGAGAGCCAGGGGTTGGGCTGCTTGGGCGAAGGTGTTTGCTTGCCTTTCGACCAATCACGAGCCCCCATTTACAACCACCGCGTCATTGCTCAGTTTCATCCGGGTGCATGGGGTTACCAACCTTTTTGCGCCGCGATATTGCTAGCAAAAAAACTCGCGCCTTGCAACTTGGGATCTGGGCTTTAAAGCCGCGGTACAAATTCCTGGAAATGTACAAAAATGAACAGTGACAAACGAGGAAGGGTTGTGCTGATTGGGTAGCGAGGCTGGCGAGCGTAAGGGTAAAAGCGACGGATCTTGATTGGTTCGTAGCCTGCTATTTTTCGTCACACTAGTGAGCTACTATTGGGACAAATGCGGCGAGTGTAAACATTCGCATTGTCCAACATATTTGTGTATGTTTAGTAGACTACATAGGGTCTTGCCATAGAGAGTACAACCCACTAGCTACAGTGGCGGAAAGAATTGTCCACATGTTTTGCACTTTTATGAATTTAGGCCGATTAAGGGCATGTGTACATTAAGCCTTTATTGAAGGCCTTACCCACTGTATGCAGGCCAATATAAGAAGACAAGGCAATGCTTTACATTCGATGAAACAACTATAGTTAACATCTAAAAGTATACATAAGCAATCACGGTACATTCGGACAATTAGTTCCAGGCGCAGGCAACAACTTTAACAACTCTAAAACTAGTACCTGGTCCATTGTCCTTTTGCCTTAATCACCGCCCTCACCCTCCTGGGCATGCTGTCGATCAAGTTGGAGCACACCTCTTATGGGATCTTCTCCCATTCCTCCTGTACACGCTCCCACAGGTCCACCATACCAGTGGGAGGCTTCTCGTGCTTAGCCAGCTCCTTCTTGAGATGAGCCCAGAGATGCTCAATGGGGTTCAGATCGGGACTTGAAGATGGCTACTCCAGCACCCCAAACTCCTGCTCTTGAAGCCACTGCTGTACCAGACGGGACTTGTGCTTGGGGTCGTTATCATGCTGGAAAATCACATCCGAGGGGGAAAGCTCGTAAAAGTCGATGGTATTCTTCAGCTTGTCCTGCAAAATGTTCAGATACAGCGGCCCGTCCATCCTACCATCGATTTTGCACATGAAACCCGCCCCCTCATATGTCATGCAACCCCAAATCATCAAGCACTCGCCCCCAAGTTTCACGGTCTGCTTGATCGGGTGGTGTTGGAGAGCCGTACCTTCACGAACCCGGCCGTCAGAGCAGAACCTATTGATCTTGATCTCATCCAACCAGATCACCCGTTTCCAATCCTCAACGGTCCAATCAGCATGGGCCCGTGCGAAATCGAGCCTATCGCGGATGTTTTTCTTAGAGAGGCGCGGCTTCTTAGGCTGTTGGACTGGGACAAGGCCGCTAGATTTGAGCGCGTTAGGCACCGTCCTATGATGTACCGTAACGCCGTGCTGGGATTTGACGATCTGGGCCGCGTGCTTTGAGGTTTTCGCCTTGCCGCTAGTAATCCCCCTAACGATCCCACGATGAATTCAATCCGTGACTATGCGTGGACGACCAGCCGTGGGCATTGAAGGACGCACATCCTCGCGGCTAGACTCTGAAATAGCCTTGAGTCCTAGATCATGGACCGTACTCTTCCCCACGCCAAGCTCCTTTGCGATTCGCCTCGTGCTATACCCCCTCCGCAACAGGGTTATGATCCGTTCTCATCTCGGCCTAGTCGAAGCCTCGGGTATAGCCTCTTTCCTGACTAATCGAAACTTGCGGGAGCAACTATGGAGATTATGCGGCTGTCGAAAACAGATCTAGTCAGCCGCTTGGCCGAAACTGTCCGGATGCACTCACGCGACTCAAATCTTGTCCTCGCTATTAGTGCGACCCCTCAAAATTGCAAAAGTCTTACCTTTGTACAGCTTGCACTCGTAACGTACAACACAACTTGGGAGATTCAGTGTTACCTCAGTTAAAAGCATTCAAGTCATTATTTGAACCTAAAAGTGGATATTACCAGGGCAATACTTTCCACCATTGTATATACAGTGACGGAAAAAACTGTCCGGATGTTTGACACTAATTAGGGTTTTTAGGCTTTTCGACCACGGTATATAAAGTCTTAATGTCTAATGGTGGTACGCTTTGGGAGGGGCACATATTGGATGTGTTCAGTGCGCTAAAATCCATAGTAGTACACTGGATCTAACTTAGTGCCAAAAGTTATACAAGGGGGTCATCCGGACAGTTTTTTCCCGGGACAAAGAGCAAACTTCCAAACAGGTTTCTAGTACCTAGTACACCGACCCTTGGCCTTGATCACCACCCGCAACCTCCTAGGCATGTTATTTACACGGCTAGTGCAAACCGTTGCAGAGATCTTCTCGCACTCTTCTTGGACCCACCCTTTTGCATAAGGGGGTGAGCACTTGGAAAATCGCGAAGGATTTGAGCGCCTGCAAGAGTTTTGTGCACGATTTCTGTTTGAATGTTATGTATGAGGCTAGCCACACTGAGGTATGACCAAAGATGCCATTAGCCGATTGATTCCATCTTATCATGGGTTGTTTTTGTCGTATCGCTGTAGGGTAAAACCACGAATAGAGCGGCGAAAAATAGTGCATATGCCGTGAAACTGAGGGTAACGTAGCACGGTCGAATATTCATCCTTGCACTATTAGAACCTTGCTAGGATCTGCATGTCTCATCACGGTGCAGCAGTCGAAGAAGTCGCGACTTTTCGGGAAGAATATCGGGGTTGAGGTCTGGTGAAGAAAAGGGTCACTCCAGTGCAACATACTCATGCTCCCCAATGCTCTCCAAGCCATTTGTACTGCCTAGGCTTGGAATAGCATTGGAGAGCATGAGTTTGTAGCACTGGAGTGGCCCTTTTCTTCACCAGACCTCAACCCGGATATTCTTCTCGGACAGTCGCGACTTCTTTGACTGCTACACCATAACGAGAGCTGCGAATCCTAACGTGATTCTAATAGTGCAAGGATCAACAATCCACCATGCTACGTTACCCTCAGTTTCGCAGCATATACACTAGTTTTCGCTCCTCTGTTCGTGGTTTTACCCTACAACGGTACGATGAAGATGACCCATGATAAGATGGAACCAATCGGCTAATGGCATCTTTGGTCATACCTCAATCTGGCTAGCCTCATACGTAACATTCAAACAGAAATCGTGCACAAAACTCTTGCAGATGCTCAAATCCTTCGAATTTTCCTAGTGCTCACCCCCTTATGCAAAAGGGAGGGTCCAAGAAGAGTGCGAGAAGATCTCTGCAACGGTTTGCACTAACCTCGTAGATAACATGCCTAGGAGGGTGCAGGTGGTGATCAAGGCCAAGGGTCGGTGTAGTAGGTACTAGAAACCTATTCGGAAGTATGCGCTTTGTCCTGGGAAAAAACTGTCCGCATGACCCCCTTGTATAACTTTTGGC